TTAGAGCTCCCCAAGCCCTCCAGGGGCTCTTTGTGATCCAGGGTCTTCCAGTTCCCTGAGCAAGGATTCTTCCTCCAGCCCTGCTCACGCTGCTTCCTCTCCCTGGAACACTCCACACCCTGTCTCTTTTCTGCCCTGTTGGCTTCTCCTTATCCATCAGATGCTAGCTCCAACATCACTCCCTCCGGGAAGCCCTCCTTGATCCCCACATGAGCTCAGAGGGGCGGGAGGCACAGGCCTGAGAGCCAGGGTGTGCGATGGTCAGACACCCAGACCCTAGAGGCAGACCGCCTGGGTTCACAATCCAGCTTCTCCACTTCCTTGCTGGGTGGACTCAGAGAAATGGTTTAACCTCTCTGTGCCTCAGTTTTAGCTGCTGTATGAGGGGGTAATTCCAATACTTACTTCGCAGAGTTGTAGTGAGAACTGATGAGTTAATATACATACAGTGCTTAGAACAGTCCCAGCATACACTAAACACTCAATGAACATTAGCCATCTACGTGCGACATTAGCCCATCACTTGGCTTCGTGGTGCCATATGGATACCTTCCAACTCATAGCACTTTATCCTGGTTGATAATTATATGTTTATCTGTATTATTATCTGGTGACATACATCTCCTTCATGAGAACCTAAGCCCCATAAAAACATGGACCAGGCCTGTTTTTGAACCCCTAGCTCTCCCATGCCCAGCCTGGAACCTGGCACCATGGTGGGCACTCAGTCTGTATTTACTCACTGAACTCACAGCTGATCAAAAGCAAAGCATCTCCCCTCCCTGCACCACGCGGCCTTTCCCCGGTACAGCATATTACATGCTCAGCCAGGAAGGGCGAAACTGCAGCTCGTAGGCCAAATCTGGCCCACCAACTGTTTTTGCAAATAAAGTTTTATTGGAAAAGGACCACACTCATTTGTTTACATATTGCCTAAGGCTGTTTTCATGTTACAACAGCTAAGTTGGGTAGTTGCAATAGAGAACATATGGCTAGCAAAGCCAGAAATAGCTACTCTCCATCTTTGACAGAAAAAGTTTGCCAATACCGGCTTTAGGTATTTGTAATCTCCATGACGCCAAAGCCACGGCTTCGTGGGGTTGGTCTGAGGTTTCAGTGGGTTTATCCACGTGCCAGGATGGGGCCTGGCACATAGGAAGAGCTCCATAAATGTTGGTAGGTACTGCGTGGTTCCATATGCTTACTCGTAGGAGATCAATAAATACTTATTCGTTGAATAAATCAGAGACCTTCTGCTCCTCATGACAGATTTTAGCACTGAACCCACACTAGCTTCGGTGGGAATCAAGACAATTCATGGGCAAGTAGTATCTGGATGAAGGAGGGGGGAAACAATAGAAGTAATAAATATCATACCTTTTACTACACACTTTCCAGGGTAGAACCAGCACAGATAGGATCCAGTTTAATCTTGACAACGGCACTTCTCAAACTTCCGTGTGCATACGACTTGGGTTACACACTTTTGTTAAAATGTAGATTCTAACAGCTGCAGAGTGAGGCCTGAGACCCTGCAGTTCTAACAAACTTCCCATGATGCTTCCTGGGCTGCTGGCCCTCCGAGTGGCCCCCCCCCGCCCCCCGCCGCCAAGCAGCGGGGCCTTACATTCCCGTAAGCTGGATGGTAGGGTTCCTTTTCCCATTCTGCAGGATGCAGAAACAGACCCAGAGAGGTAAAGACCCTTGCCCTCGGCCACGCTGTGAAGGAGTGACAAAGCCAGGGTAAGAACTCAGGGGCACCCCCAAATCCCCACTCTGCCTATGATACCACCCAGCCAGAAAGACCTCCTTCGAGAAACTTCTCCAATGTAGGAGCCCCTGCTTGCTCTGAAGTCACTTCCTGCCCAGCCTGAATCTGGGTCCTGTAAACTTCAGCCTCCCTAGGCATGGTGCTGTTTACTGGCTGTCCCCTGTCACCTTCATCCTGGGCAAACCTCTTCCGAGAGAGGCTAGTGTTTGGGTTGGCTCTGCTGGGCTGGAGAGGCTACTGTTTGTACCGCCCGCTGGTTACCCTGCTCTTGAGCACATCATAAGCTGCTTGGGACCTTCTGAAGTAGTCCCATTACTCTCTGGGGCTGCAACTCAGCAGACCTCTCTCTCCAGCCTCCTTCCATCTTGTCTTTGCACACATGTCCGTGTGCACATGCACACACACACACACACACATACACGGCTGCACACACAGCATCCCAGCTCCCTCCACAGCTGGTGCTCCCTCTCTCTGCTGTCTGGAAGGCTAAGTTGGGATATGCGGGCTCTGCCGGCAGGCTGAGCCGACGCCATCAAGCCCCAGCTGCCTGGGAGGCATTTGCTCTGAGGGTGCAGGCTGGGTTTGCCAAATGTGGGCATACGGTGGGCAGGAAGCACCGCTTTCTCGGAGGGAAAAGACTGGAGAGCTTCCTCCCCAGCTCTGCTCCTCTGAGCCACCGCGGCTGCCCCTCTTGGAAGTCACACCAACCTGTCTTTCCCCCTTTTTGCTGTCACCCTCCATTCCCAGCTGGTCAGACATCACATCCACACGGAGAGGGCAGAAGCATGAGAAATCATCTCCCGGTCCACCCCCACTTTTATACATGGGGAAACCAGAGAGGGCGAGGTACCCGTCTCAGCCACACAGCACGTGAGTGGCACAGCTGGGACCCCAAACCCAGAACTCTATACTCTGCAGCCCCCTTCCCAGGCTCCTTGGAAGCCCCACAGGGAGAGTGCAGGGTGGTCCAAAAGTAGGGCTGATCTGAACTTGAATCCTGACTCATGAGCTGGGCTGTCTTGGGCAAGTTACTTTGCCTCTCTGAACTTCAGTTTTCTTGTCTATAAACTGGAGCTAAAAAACACAGCCCCCTGGGCTGTTATGAGGATTACATTAGAGAATGCATGTTAGGTACTCATTCACGACTCAACACAGAGTAGGTGCTTATCAAAGATTCTCTCTTCTCTCCTGAGTCTTCAATAAGCTCCCCTATCCCCAGGTGCTTACAAAGAGGATTTAGGCAGCACTGAGTGTGCGTGTCCAGATATCATGTATGCATGTGTAGGGGTGTGGGGGCTGGGGGATCGGCCTGGGGACACAACAGTTATCTTAAAATGGCTTGCACGGGGGGAATGTCCACTCAGATCTGGGGGGAGGCAGTCCGTCCCTGCTTACGGGAGAGGAGAGCCCGATTGCCCAGTAACCCAGCTGCTCGCCTTGCGTGCCTCATCCTCTGGCCCCTAGTTCAGGTTCACTCTTCTTCAAGTCCCCCTAAAATAATCCATTCACCCAACAGCCTCAGTAAGCAGTGTAGACTTCCTGAAGATCCAGGGGGAAGAGACAGGAGGAGTTTTATATCACACATCACAGCCAACTGCCTAAAATCCTCTTGGAAAAATTCCTCAAGTTCTATACAGAAAAACTCCCTTCTCCACAGATTTCTGTGGCCACACTACCACCAAAAGGGATGGGGAGCGAGGAGAAACTCTACTCCTGGCGACTTCCTCTCCAAAATGCACATCCCCAGCCAACCAACCCCTCCGGCTCACCCCAGGCTGAGCCAAGGGGCCCTAAACTTCTTCAGAAGCCACTTAACTCAGACATGTAAAGAAATCCTCCTTTCCCTCCCAGGAGCCTCCAGATGCTCTGCCTCCTGCCTGGCCCACAGCTCCCAGGACAGGGACTCAAGCCCTGAGGTCACCACCACCTTATTTGAATCTGGAGAGAAGGGCTATTGTACTCTCCAGAGACACTTTGTGGAGGACCCGGCACCTCTGGGTCCCCATCCGTACACTGCCCCCCACATGCGCCCCCTGCTGGCCTGGCCTGCCTCCCCCCCCACACACCGGCCATCTGCATCCCTCTGCCCTCCAGTCCTCCCACATGCAGAAGTAAAATGTTCCTGAGGGTGTTCTTTTCTTGTGCCTGTTTGTCGGTCCTTCCTTCTCACTTTATCCTGAAGGCGTTTTTTGGGGTTTTTGTTTTTCACTTGTTCTTTTCTTGGCAACATGTCTGCTTCTTCCTCTGTCTGGACCGCCTCACCACGTTTATTCACTCAGTGAGCCTGCACTGGGGACCTGCGGTGTCTCCAGCACCCACCGAGGTGGTGGGGACAGAGAGATTAAAAAGAGAGAACTAAAAACAAAAAACAAAAAACAAATAGCCCCAGTTCTCGCCTTCATGGGACCACACAGCTTGTGGAAGCATATATAGAAACAAGTTTTTCCTGTACTAACTATCCTTTATCCAGCCTTTACTACATGTCCTCAGAGACTTATCCAAGTGCATTATCAGAATCAGCTCATTTAATCCTCATGGCAGTCTGAGGAGGCAGGCACTATGACCACCCCCATTTTACAGATGAGGAAATTGAGGCACAGAGAGACAATTCGCCCCACCCTATGTAGCTAATACATGCCAAAGCCAGATTCAGATCCAGGCCATGTGGCTCCTTCACCACGAACACACTGCCCCAGGTGCCCCAGCACACAGGAAGGGACGTATCGCTTTGCTTAAGCAAGTCAGGGAAGGCTTGACAGAGGAGGCGAGTTTGAGTTGAGTTTTGATGGATGGATAGAAGTTCGCTGAGTCAGAAAGAGCAGGAAAAGCATTCTAGTGAGAAAGGTCAGTATGTCAAAAGTCAGAAGTATGCAATGACATGACGTGGGAAGTTTGCTGTGGCTAGACCAGAGGGGACATGGGAACCAGGAGTGGGGACCAGGAGGCATGAGGCCGGAGATGGGCTGAGACCAAGTCAAGTCACGTGGGGCCCTGTGGGCCTCATGAGGCACTGGCCTTTGGTCCTGTAGGCAGACAGGAGCCCCTGAAGGGCTACGAGGTGGACACTGGCTTGTTCCCCCTTCCCTCCCCCACTAAGCAAACTTGACTGTGGCCCCGTGTCCACGAAACACCCACTCCTGTGGGCCACTCTCTCCCCCATGCATCCCTCTGGCTCACAGCTGGGCCATTCTCTCTCTCACTGACCGCCCCCCCCCAACGTGTTCCTCAGGGGCTGTGAGGGCCTCGAGCATTTTCCCGATCCTGAGTGTGATTCTGCTCTTCATGGGTGGACTCTGCATCGCAGCCAGCGAGTTCTACAAGACTCGACACAACATCATCCTGAGTGCCGGCATCTTCTTCGTGTCTGCAGGTAATGGCCTCTGAGCTGGGCAGGCCAGAACCCGGGCCTGCCTGTGGGGAGAAGGCCGAGGTTTGGGTGCTCCGTGGCTGGGAGAACCTGACAAAGACAGGAGGGAGGGAGAAGAGGAAATCTTGAGGACTTGCAACAGGTCATGTCATAGGGAAGGCAGGTTGTGCTGGGGCTCCTGCCCCACAGTAACATCCAAGCCCCCGGCTGAGTCCTCCAGGAACATCCCGCGACCCGGTCTCTCAGCCCAAGGGCCCATCTCCCTCCCACCTTTTAGAAAAGGGTCCAAATCCCAGGTCTCTCTCAGAATACGGGGCCTAGCCTCATTGCCCTGTCCCCTCACTGTCCCACCCCGGGGGGGAGCAGGCAGGCAGGCACCTAAAACCACAGACAGGCACCTAAAACCTGTTACAGGACAAGTCACGTTGCTTCAGATGCCAGAAAAAGCCTATGGCCATACTTACCACACCCCGGCCCCCAACAGCTTCCCATGTGCTAATTCATTCAATCCTCTCCATGGCCCTGCAAGAGGGCGTCCTATCACCCCACCACCACCACCACACACACACACACACACACACACACCACACATACACACACATACACTTTACAGGTCTGCAAACTCTGACTCAGGTCACCTTGCCAAAGGCTTTGAATCTAGGCAGTCTGGCTCTAGGAACCAGTGCCAACCCCCTGCTATACAAGCTTCAAACCTCAGTGCAGCCTTGATCAAGTTACTTAACCTCTCTGCAATCCATTTCCTCATTCGCAAACCTCCAGAACAGCACCGCACAGCCAAGGCGGGTAGCAAACGCTCAATAAACAGTACCTCTTATTAGTAGTCCACGCATGGTGGTAGAATGCCTCCCTCCCCTCTCCTCTCCTCCCCTAGCTTTGTTTCCATCAGCCCTCCCCTTTGTCGCTCCCTCCAATGGCATGATCCAATATTTAGGCAATGCTTGCCACTGGCCCTCTCCGGAACTGGCCACGAAATCCCTGGAGCCGGGAAGGCCCATGAGGCTGCCCTTGTCCGTTAGCCCTGCCCAGGGCCTGACACCGCGCTGGGAACTAACCACCCCTCTCTCTGACACCCCCACCCCACCCCGCACCCGCCCTGTGCCCCGCAGGTCTGAGTAACATCATTGGCATCATAGTGTATATATCTGCCAATGCTGGAGACCCCTCCAAGAGCGACTCCAAAAAGAATAGTTACTCGTACGGCTGGTCCTTCTACTTCGGGGCCCTGTCCTTCATCATCGCCGAGATGGTCGGAGTGCTGGCCGTGCACATGTTTATCGACCGGCACAAACAGCTGCGGGCCGCGGCCCGCGCCACGGACTACCTCCAGGCCTCCGCCATCACCCGCATCCCCAGCTACCGTTACCGCTACCAGCGCCGCAGCCGCTCCAGCTCCCGCTCCACCGAGCCCTCGCACTCCAGGGACGCCTCCCCCGTGGGCATCAAGGGCTTCAACACCCTGCCGTCCACGGAGATCTCCATGTACACCCTCAGCGGGGATCCCCTGAAGGCCGCCACCACGCCCACCGCCACCTACAACTCCGACAGGGATAACAGCTTCCTCCAAGTCCACAACTGTATCCAGAAGGAGAACAAAGACTCTCTCCACTCCAACACAGCCAACCGCCGGACCACCCCCGTATGAAGCCCGCGGGGGGGCCTGGCGGCGCCGCAAGGAGGAGCGCGCAGCCCCCCCCCCCCCCGCGTGGGCCCCCCCCCCGAGGTGGGGGGGGAGGAGGGGGCGGGAACCCAACCATCCACTGGGGGGGAAAACCTTCCAAAAGCAAAAAAACAAAACAAAAAACAAAAAAAGAGAAAAACATAACAAGTAAATTTAAAAAAAAAAGAACAAAATATAAGAGGAACAAAGAAGCAAAACGACAGGAAATGTGACAAAAAATATTAACCGAGGGAAAGAAAAACAAACTTAAAAAAAAAGCGAGCGAGGTTAAAAAATTAAAAATAGACAATAAATCTAAAAGAAAATGCATGATTTCCCATGTACCATTATTTTAACATTTAATAAAAACCAATCTAAATGAAAAAATAAAAGGGAACCAAGATAACATTAAAGCAAAAAATGAGGAGCAGAAAGGAAGGGGGAATGTTCTCTGCATTTATCAGGGGTTTATGTTCCTTTTTGTTTTAATGCGGGCGAGTTACTTTTCTGTTCTTTTTAACCCCAAGCGGGCTCTGCCTCCCTGGGCCAGTTGGGGGGTGGAGACTCAGGGGCCCCAGGGCCAGGTGAGCCCCTCGGTCATTGCCAGGTCCCTGGAGCCTCTGGATGGGTGCCCCAGGAACGCTGGGCAAGCTCCGAGGCTTGAGAGCCGGCTCCACCCGGCACCGATGGGGCAATTGTAGGCCTCCAGGTGACCCTAGAGTCCTTGGTCCCTCCTGTCCGAAAGGTGCCTGGAGGGGGGTGCACTTGGGGCTTGCCCAGCCCCCAAGTTCCCAGTCCTTAATGGTCCTTAACCCACTGTGATGACTTCCTAGGCCTTGAGGGAGGGGAAGGAGAGGGATGGCTGCCGTTGGCTTGCGAGATGCCCAAAACCCTGGAATCCTCAGGGTGAGCTTCTTGGGGTCACCACCCCAAGCTCCTGCCCTCTGGAGCAGGAGATGCTCACCCCCCGGGGGGATATAAAGCAGCTCTCCCTCCTCACCTCTCACCTCAGGGCCACCTGATGACCCTGGGGCGATGGTGGACCCCCAGACTCATAGGCCCCCCCCAGCCCCCTGGGAAGGGGGCTTATTGACCCTTTGGGGGTCCTTGGACTCACTGAAGCCCCCCTGGGGCCCAGCGGGTCCAACAACGACACTGCAAAAAGGTTTCTTTTTACAAAAGAAAAAGGAAAAACAAGTGGTGATTTTTTTTAATAAAAAAACCACAGATTATAAATAAATGTAAATATATAATAAGTGGATTTACTTGCAAGAAAATCAGATAGTATTTTTCTTTTAATTCTTTTCCAGCTTTAAACTGTGAAAACAAAACAATGGGGTGGGGTGGGGGACTTAAAATTTAGCAGGGAACTTGTAAAGAGAAAACAGAAAACAAATATACAAATCCACTAAAAAAAAAAAAAACCTGCTGGGAGAGATCAGGGCTGGGCTCAAGGGGGAGGCAGAGGAGGAGGGCCCAGGGGAGCGGCAGGGAGATTGTATGACAGAGATCTCTTTCTTATACCAGGAAGGTGCTGCTAATGCAGATAAGAGAGAGAATCACGACAGAGAACCAGGTCTAGACGAAGGAGATCGCACACCCACTCCCAAACACTCACATGCACACAGACACAGTCCTCCAGGCCCCGTGCTCCAATCCACCGGCATACACACTCGGTCTAAACCCTTCCCTCCCCATAACACAGTGAACACTGACTCCTGCCCTCCAAAGCCATTGACAACACCACACACACACACACACACACACACATACACACACACACACACACCACTAGCATGCATGGAAAGGACCCCACTCTAAAATCCAGCTCTGGATTCTGGAATCCCTTGCAGCGGTTGCCTCTCTGGGCCTCAGTTTCCCCCATACATAAGCATATGGATTGACCTAGATGAGCTCCAAAGGCCTATTCTTATTCTTGGTGTCGATGACTTTTAAGATCTGCCACCTGCCCAGAGGAAGATGCCAGGGATGACCGAAATAGCAGCCATCCAGCCCCCAGACATTGAGAACATTCCCAAATCATCAGTCAGCCTCTCAGCCACACACACACACACACACACACACACACCATATGCCTCCTCACTGTGCTCCCAAACCCCTGCCCCCACATCCAATGTCAGAGCAAAAATACATACATGTGAACAAATGTATCCTGCCATTCAGAGAGAGGGAAAAGCACCAGAGGTTCCCAATGTCACTCTTCATTTCGTGTCCCCTTTCTTTAGTGCCATAACCCAGTCACAGAGAGTGAAGGGGGCTTCTGAGAGAAGAGATCAGCTGCCAGGCCTTCCCCGCTATCTTTGGGGGTCAGAGAAAAAGAAGATCCTCTGGGGTTGGCTGGGAGGGGTTCAGGTCAAGGGGATGGAGGAGATGGCTTTACAAAGTTTGGTCACAGGTTGAGGACCAGCTCCCAAAATAAAGCTGACGCCACGGACTAAACTCTGGGGCATCCCATGTTGCTCCCCACTCTTCCCAGAGGGGAGAAGGCCCAGTTCAGACAGAGAGAAACCCAACAGCTTTCTCGAGTGCGAAGTTCAGCCCAGCCTGCTGGCCACCCTGCTGAGGGTGGGGGCCCCTGCCAGGCCCATCAGCAGGTTTTGCTTTGCCTCTTTCTTGACCCCAGCCTGGCCTGAAGTTCCAAAAGCTGAGCTCTGGAGAGTTGTGGGGAGTGGCTCTTGAGGCTTTGGGGGTGCTTGCACACTCCCAGCCACCCTTCCCGTGTTTTGTCCGGGAAAGGAGAGCTCTGTTTTCAAGTCAGCTGCAGCGGGAACCCTAAACTCAGCCTGAGCCACAAGGCAGAACATCTGCCCACCCAGCCCCCAGTGCACAGAAGGCCACAGGCTCCAGACAGAGGGACAGAGCGCTTGGCGGCCAAGGCCAGTGCAATGGCGACCCAGCACTTCTCGGTCTGGGCAGAAATCACAGTCTCTCCCTCCCTCGCCCCACCAGCTTCCAAACCCAAACCCAAAAAATGAAGGACTAGAGAGATGGAGAGGCCCCAAGAACAGAGCAAACAAGCAGGTGCTGGTCGAAGAACAAAATTGGCCCCAGTTGTGGTAGAGTGTTTGAGATGGCAACCGGTGCCTCTTTCCAGGCTGAGGCCTGGGTCCCGGGGCTGCTTGAAGAAGGCCATCTGGGTGTGGGGCAAAACCAGCACTGCTGAGAAAGGGCTAGGGGACCCGGAGGGAAGGAGCGGGGAGCGGGACTGCAAAGGGCGCTGCTTGCCAGGGTGGACGGTTGCTCATGTCCAGCTCAAACCAGTTCAAGAAACCAACCTCCGTTTTATTTTCTTGGTGGGTCCTTTTTTTTTTTTCAGACTGTTAACAGAAAAAAAAAAAATTTTAAAAAGCAGAAAACTTAAAAAAGAAAAAAACAGAAAAAAATCCTGGTACATGAAATAAAGATTTTTTTTTATAGCTTGGTCCTCATGTCAGTGGATTTCTTTCATTGCTTTCCCCATCCCGGCATCCCCACTTAACACAATCCTAAAGCCGCAGATTCCCAGAGCTGGGAGATGGGAGGCTTAGAAGCCATGCAGGAGAGTGTCCCCACTCCCCAGGTCATGAGTCTCCTCTTAAATATCCCTTAGGGATACTTGCGCACACCTCCAGTGACAGGGAGCTCACCCCCTCCATAAGCAGTGTTTATTGGTCAGAGTCTCCTCCACAAGATGAATTTTAATCCATGTCCTCCTTTGAATCCAGCAACACTGAATGAATGCCTTCCCTTTCCAACACATGTCCTTGAGTTTCCTGTTTTAGAATAAACCAGCTCCACTCAACATCGCTGTGACTCTCCAAGGTTTCAGTTTTTGCCATGCAAGTGTCCAGCCTGGAATGAGAGTGACCCTGCAGGTGTACTCAGAGGGCTCCCTGCACAGAGCTGCTCCTCGGAGGGGATTGGGAGACAAATGGTGAGGGGCTAGCGGGGAGCCCTGGGACCTCCTAACTTGGAGAGCTAGGAAAGGCAAAATGGGACATGTCCTAATCGGCTCAGGCTGCTATAACAACAAACATGCCCTAGTCTGGGGGGCTGAAATGACAGACATTTACTTCTCACAGTTCTGGAAGCTGGGTGGTCCAAGATCAAGGTGTCGGCAGATTGGGTTTCTGGTAAGAACTCTCTTCCTGGCTTGCAGATGGCCACTTTCTCTCGTGTGCTCACGGGGCACCAATTTCTGGGCTCTCTTCCTCTTCGCATAAGGTCACTGCTCCCTTTGTGGAAGCCCCGCCCTCCTGACCTCATCTACCACATTATCTCCCAAAGACCCCCACCTCCAAATATCCTCATACTGGAGACAAGGGCTTCAATATATGTATTTTGGGGGGCCGCAAACTCTCAGCCCATCACAGGATGCCAACAGGAAAACTTGACCCTTGACATTGGCAAAAGGCCCTGTTTGCAGGCCGCTCAAGAGCCAGCCCGCCGAAGTACAGCCCGGGCCTGGTCAAACTGCCAGCATCAGGGATTTGAAAGAGAGCCGTAAACACCTCTCAAAATCCATTAAGTACATTTAATTCAGTTCCTTTTAACTTGTAAAAAAAACCGTCACACTGAAGAGGAGGGGAGGAAAGAAGGTATTTCAAAACCAAATCAAGATTTAAAAGGCAAACAAAAAAGAACTCCTCTGTTGGCACATAGTAAAATGCTTCCTTCCTCCTTCTTCTATTGCTCCTCTGGGCCCACCTTCCCATCACCACCTTCCTGAATTTATTATCCTTAACTAGGAAGGTCAGGAGCACTCGCAATGGAACGAAAGCATGACAAACAGGAAAATGGAAAGCTAACCAAAGCTTGTTTAAAAATGAAAACACGTTGTTCTGAAAAGAGAAAAGAGCTTCATTCTGTCCTACTGACATCCACGATCACAGACAAAAAAAAGCACGGAGGTCTCGTTCATGTCAATAGCTGGGCTTCACTGGCCTGGTTATTTTCATATTTTCATTTGGAAAGCCAGAAGAGTGACCTATGCATGATCTTAGAAACAGCCATGATAACACATAGTGATGGGCACGGGGGAGGGTCCCAGATGTCACAACCCCTGTCCTGACACAGACCCAGGCTTCTTCATGAGCTCTGGAAGGTGGGGGCCCCTGGGGGAAGGGGGACACTGTGTATGATGTGGGGAGGAAGCTTAGTCATTATACACATCTCCTTGGGGCCCAAGAGAAAGGAGATGTATGTGGAGGAGACCCAAGTGACACAGATCAGAGAGAAGACCATCCCCACACCGTGAGGCCCCAGAGAACTCCACTCGGGAATTGGCCAACATTCAGAAGTCCCTGCTCCACCCAAGTCCCCTCAGGCCACACCGCCAAGCCCCGCTACGGTCTCGTCTCGAGCATCTCTTGCTCCACGCTCATCCCTAATATTTGCAGGCCCCAGGGTAGGCGTACAAAT